GGTAAATTACGCCTTTTTTTTTTTTTTTTTTCTTCAAGCGCGAAAAATGAGGCTCCCCTTGCTTCGCGTGCTCGAGCGATGCGCCGGCATTGGGAGTGTACACATATTACGGGTGAGCTGTTACACGAGCTATATGTTACATCCTGTACAGACCAGGAGAAGTTGCACTTTTTTTTTTTTTTATCCAGGAATATACATGCATAGGTTGTGTAAAAAAGTGTACCGTTTGTTTGTTTGCTAGCAGATTAATTCATGCGCAGGTTTTGCAGTAGAATGGGCGTTGGTTTGGTCAGACGCGAGAACGCGTTTTTTTTTGTTCGTTTACCGTAGAACCGTTTTTCGTTGTTATTGGATTTAAATAGTTGTAGTCATTGAAGTTTTATTGTCTACCACCACAATCTGTCTGGCGTGTATAATGTCGTTTTTTGCTGTCTTTGGATCGATTAAAGAGGGTTTTGGGCGTAAACACGAGAATTCTATAGCTTCCACGCTCGCGTTTTCTCTTTGCTTATCGATACCATCATCAGATCTATTTTCATACTTGTGAAATTTTTTTCTTTTTTCCCTCCCCCATTGGTTCCGCGTACCAATAAAAATTCAGCGCCAAGAAAACAAAAAGCCCAAGCCGAGCTCGCGCGAAACAACAAGCAGTCCGGACCCATACGTGCGATCGAGCTTCGGACGCGCCTCGCAATGGATATGTGTGTGTGTGTGTATACCATCGAGACGACGAGATAGAGAGAGTTCGTCCTCACGGGAGGGTAAATACCGAAAATAAGCGGGCTAATAAGCCAGCACCGAGAGACGACGAACGAAAATAGCGAGAGAGAGAGAGAGAGAGAGAGTGAATTATGCATTAGGGATTTACGGGGAATCCAATGTTGCGCAATTGAGTTACGGGGACACTGGGCGCCGAGTTGCTGCTGCCGTGGCTTCTTTTACTGCCGCGGGGCCGTGTTACATCGGATATACTTACCGGTTTGCGATTAATAATTTGATCTTCCGAAGGTGAATAGAGACCGGCCGCTTGCGTATAATTATATATAGATAACGCGGATTGAGATTTTCTAAGAATACATCCGAGGAGAGGGTCTCTGGTGGACTTTTCTTATTTTTTTTTTTTTTTTTTTTTTGTAATTTAAAAAAATTTATTTTTTTTTTTTTTTGTAATTACAAAATGATTACCAATAGAGAAATAAGTACATCAATGCACATACAAAAAAGAAAAAAGGAAACGTAAAACTGATGAATAGTATTGCCGATGTATCACATGGCATTGCAAAATGATGTCGTCGGAAGGAGACACCGAGTCTCGAAGAGCGGTAAATTCAATAGTAAGGCCTTTGCTCTGTAGCAATTGAGTTACCAAACGTGAAATATTATTTCATTTATGATAATTTTTTTTTCTTTTCTTTTTTTTTTTACATTTCTATATGAACCACCTGTATCAGTGTGGGTATATTTTCTCATCAAAAAGACGTGTAATGTCAATTATTACAATCATGATAATCAGTTTAGGGATTTAAAAGTAGTTAGACACCATATTTAAGTGTGGCATTGAGATTTCATAATAAATCGAAACGATGCTGTCAAGCGTGACAAAACAATTAACAGACTAAACTGTTTTATACAAGTTAATGCTAGACCGACCCTTTTTCAGAGTCCGTTTAATTAAAAGATAAGTCATATTAAAAAAAGTATAGTAACCTAAACACAGCAGTTATCAATTTTAGGTATACATTTTCAAACAATTTACATCTTCAAACAGACTCGAGGTATGATATTCATTGTGCTTGGTCCTCATGATTGTCAATAAGTAGTAACATACGAATATTGGTAAGACAGCAGTTTCCCGCGTAAAAATTTTTAAGTTTGGCCAAACTTGCGCAAAAGTTCATGTGGTCAACGTTTGGCCAAACTTTGGCCAAGCTTGGGCAATGAGAAAATCCCAAACTTGGATTTTTTTTGGAATATTTGACTCAAGTTTAGCAAATGTTCATCCAAACGTCTAAAAAATTAATTTGTTGCGTCAGGATATTAGTTGGTCTGCATATATGACTTACGAAAAATATTGAGTAAAATATTCCAACGAAAATCCAAGTTTGGGATTTTCTCATCGCCCAAGCTTGGCCAAACGTTGACCACATGAACTTTGGAGAAAGTTTGGCCAAACGTAAAAATTTTTACGCGGGTTCATAATGTATACTCACAATAGCAACAGACAAACAATTGATTGAATTGTCATCAGTACGTTTACCAATCAATTATGTGGCTTTACTAAAAAAATCAAAAAATTGAAAGCTCGTAACGATTAACCGTGCGAGTATTAACCCAACTGCCGTATCCGATATTTTTTATTGTCATTTCGGAGAAAAAGAGAGAGAGAGAGAGAGGAAAAAACAGTGGAGAATAGTTGAGTGTTGATACGCATATCGTTGGGATCAACAAAGTACCGATTTGTCGCCCCACTCGTCGATTTGATCTCGGCACCAGAAAGGCGTGCAGTTTCGCGCGACACTGACAGAGCCGAAGCAAAAACCGTGGGAGTGCACTTGGCAAAAATACAAAAACAACAGCAGCCACTGCCGAAATCATCAGCCTCGCCACACGCCACGCGCACACCGTCCTCTCAATAATTGTCGCATCAACTATGGCGCACGTACCTTATACATTTGCGATGAGCTCTAATCCACGCGCGGACAGGTTTGACAACAATGACGTAACTTTCAACTAACGACTTTCCCCCCCCCCCACGCAATGCGTGCCAATTACGTGTACACGTGTAAAAGTACTTACGCGTGGGTCCCTAAAACGCGAGCGCCGAGTCGTGAAAACTCAAAGTGGAGCCTTGT